CAGGGCATGCTGGGAGCGGGGGGCTGGGCTGGCAGCGGGGAGCTTCCCCACCGCACACACCGTCACACTGACACACACACCGCACTGCCACACACACACAGCAGTCACACACACACACACACTCAGCATTCACGCACAGTACTGAAATACACACAGCACAGCCACACACACAGCACTGACACACACCAAGCTCACACACAGCTGTGACACACACCAAGCTCACACACACACAGCACTGACACACACACAGCTGAGACACACACCAAGCTCACACACACACAGCACTGTCGCACACTGACTCAACACACCACAATGCCACACACATCCAGCCCCTCTACACCACAGGCACACACTGAGCTCACACACACAGCACTGGCTCTGTACCCAGGCGCACACTCGGCACCAACGCAGCACATATGGGTTCAACATCCCCCCGCCACCGCTGAGGACAAACTCTGCACACACATGCATCTACACAGTGATACACACAGCTCTGAGTTGACACTGCACACCTTGACTGACACACACACAGCACTGACTCTACCCAGGCGCACACCTGTCAAGAACATCAGAATGGCCAAACTGGGTCAGACCAACAGTCCTTCCAGCCCAGTGTCCTGTCTCCCCACCTGCCTGGTGCCCCAGAGGGAGGGAACACAACAGGGAATCACCAGGTCTGTCACCCATCCCCTGATGTTGGATGGAGAAATGTTCCCTTTGCTCTGTTTTAAACCTGCTGCCTGTTAATCTCAGTGGTACCCGCTGGTGTTTGTTTTCCATGACGTGGTAAATAACCCCCTTACTCTCCGTCCCCCACCATTCAGGTGTTTCTAGACCTTAGTCGTCTCTTTTCCAAGCGGACAAGTCGCGGGCTTTTCAGTCACCCCCATAAGGAAGCTGTTCCAAACCATTGATCATTTTCAGGGCTCTTCTCCGGACCTTTCTCTTTGTGAGTTTTCTGGTGTTGAGATGGGATGACCAGACCGGCACACAGTAGTCCCGGTGTAGGCGTACCATGGATTTGTACAGAGGCATTGTGGGATTCTCAATCCCTTCCACTGCAGCTCCTAACAGGCTGCTGGCCTTTTTGACGGCCACTGAACGCTGTTTGGCTATTGTCAGAGATTCTGGGCAAAGTGGGGAAGGTGCCTCCATGCTCCTGGTTCCCCGGGCAGAGGAAGTTTGTTTTCTAATGTGCATTACTTTGCATTTATCGACATTGCATTTCATTTGACCGTTTGCTGCCTGGTCACTCAGTTTTGTGAGATCCCTTTGTAACTCTTCACTGTCGGCTTTGGGCTGAACTATCTTGAGTAACTTTATATAGCCTGCAAATATTGCCACTCTCTGATATCCACTCTCCCCAGATCATTCATAAATAGGTTGAATAGGATGGGTCCCAGGACAGACCCTGGGGGACACCACTAGTTACCTCTCTCCATTCTGAATTATTAGGTCATGAGCTTTCGTGGGTAAAACCCACTTCATCAGATGAGTTGGAGTAGAAATTACAGAATCCAGAGTATATATAACAGCAAAAGAAGTTACCTGTCAATTGTAGAACCAAGGTTAATGGGGCAAATTAAGTCAGTTCTAATTAAGTTCATTTACAAATTAAATACTATCAACTTAGGCTTGAATAAAAATCTTAACTGGCTAATGCTCTACAAAGGCAATTTCCCCTCTTTTGATATTCACATTTACACATCAAATGCTGAGTATGAGACACATCCACCCTGACTTAATCAACTTCATTAATTCTTAAAATAGACTGCCTTAAAACACAGACTACCTTGGCTTAATCAGGAGATCTTAAATAATCTAAAAAATCAAAAAGGAGTTGTATAAAAAGTGGAAACTATGTCAAAGCACAAAGGATGAATATAAGCAAATAACACAAGTATGCAGGGGCAAAATAGAAAATCAAAGGCACAAAACGAGCTCAGTCTATCCAGAGTCCTGAAGGGTAATAGGATGTTCTACAAATATATTAGAAGCAAGAGGAAGACCAAGAGTAGACCCATTGCTCAGTGAAGAGGGAGAAACAGTAACAAAAAGCTTGGAAATGGCAAAGGTGCTTAATTACTTCTTTGTTTGGGTTTTCACCAGGAAGGTTGGTGGCGACAGGACGCCTAACATAATGAATGCCTGAAGTTTACAATTTAAAATTGCTTACAGAAGTTAGATATCTGCAAGTCACCAGGGCCTGATGAAATGCATCCTAGAATACTCAAGGAGCTGATAGAGGAGGTATCTGAGCCTTTAGCTTTCATCTTCGAAAAGTCATGGAAGTCGGGAGAGATTCCAGAAGACTGGAAAAGGGCAAATCTTTTGCCCATCTGTACAAAAGGAAATAAAAACAACCCAGGAGTCTGCAAACCAGTCAGTTTAACTTCTGTACCATGGAAGATAATGGAGCAACTAATTAAGGAATCCATCTGCAAACACCTGGATGATAAATTTCCAATAAGATGGTAGGTAACCAATGTCAAACCAATCTGATAGTTTTCTTTGATAGGATAATAAGTCCTTTGGATAAGGGAGAGTTGGTGGGTGTGGTATACCTAAACTTTAGAAAAGCATTTGATACAGTTCTTCCATGACCTTTTCATTAACAAATCAGAGAAATACAAGCTAGATGGGGCTACTCTAAGGTGGGTGCATAACTGGCTGGATAACTGTTCTCAGCGAATAGTTATTAACAGTTCACAATCCTGCTGGAAGGACAGAACAAGTGGGGTCCCGCAGGGGTCTGTTGTAGGACCAGTTCTGTTCAATATCTTCATTAACGATTTAGATATTGGCATAGAGAGGACGCTTATGAAGTTTGCAGATGATACCGAGCTGGGAGGGGTTGCGACTGCTTTGGTGCACTGTCTGCTTCCGTCTGTTTCCTCTGGTGTAAACAAACCACTTGCTGCACCTGCCTCGGTTTCCCCTCCTCTACGCGTCTGTCACATGGAAAAATAAAATCCCCCTGCTGGCCCGATGGTATTTCTGAAGATTCCAAGGCCTGGTCGCTGCAGCCCCATTCCCTGCTCCCTGGACCCCGAACCAGCAGCAAACAGCTCTACGGAAGTTGGAGCTGCTCCCTCTGTCTGGGAAACACAAGCTGGATTGTGTCATCCTCCACTCCTACGCCAGGTTCTGAGACCCCCCTCCCAGCCCCTTGCTTGGGCACAGGACCCTGAGAAGCACAGACCTCCCACAAGGCCTTGCTCCTCCCTCCCAGTACTGGGAGAAGCCACCCCCTGGGGTGGAAGGGAAGAAATTTCATTTCCTTTGAGAGCCACTGAAATGATTTGGCTTGATTTGGACTGTTCTATCTTTTATATTCTTCTACCATGTCAATTTCAGGCCATGTCACCCTCTCCTTGACACTTTCTGACTTTGGGTATGTCTACACTACCCTCCTAGTTCGAACTAGCGGGGTAATGTAGGCATACCGCACTTGCAAATGAAGCCCGGGATTTGAATTTCCCGGGCTTCATTTGCATAA